CAGGAAAGAAATGTATATATTAAAATATATAGGAAAACTTGCCATGAATTTTACTGGGAATTATCATCAGTGTCAAGCAGACTATTTCCAATAGTTTTGTTTATGATTAAGTGTAAGTGAGGACCAAAAGGAAAATAAGATATGAGTCCGTCTGCAAAACCCCATTGCAAAAAAGGTGATGAAGTCCAAGACTGACCTGAGGAAATAATGTATGAAATAGGAAAATATTATATGTATATCTTACCATTAAAATAAATATAGCTAATAAGGAGAATTTCGGTAAGCGGATCAAGGTTATTTATGAGGTCCTTGATTTTCCCATTGGTTCTTCCTGCAACATATTCGTTGATCTTTATCTGGGCTTGATCAGCCCTCTTGAAGTTCATAGGATAAGCTTCTCCTTCAAAGAAGTTTCTGAGATTACTTAAAAATTTGTCTTGTGGCTTCAGTCGGTCAAGCACAAACAGGACATTTCCCATATTCAGCTGTAACCCCCCATTCTTTCTGTTTACCATTTGCATGAGTTGACGATAACCTTCATGTATTTCATTTTCAGAAATCTGTTGTGGGTTAAAGCTAAGGACCTTAAGAATCTGTGTCAGAGTGTCTGATCTTGCACCCAGAGTCAACATTGCAAAGGCAGTAGAGATGCTCAAAGGAGAGAAGAAAATATTCCCACTGTTTTCACGAGAAGAAATCTCTTTGTAGAAACAACAGGCAAACCGACAAACACTGTTCCCTACAGTCTGCTGTGGTGTGTTTTGGTTTTCTTGGTCTCTTTGATTTTGATTTCTTACACCTTGGTGGTTGGGGTCATAGCAATAACTGTTGGAATGAATCCCAACAATTAAAAGACACAGGAAAAGCAACATCTTCATGTTTCTATCACTCTGTAAAAGAAGAAAAGAAAAATGACATTTGGCTTACAAATCTTTTTAGCTTGTGCTTAGGAGTAAGTCAATCCTTTCATGTACCGAGTTGGGTTGGTACCAGTGATTCCAAGCCGTTTGAATTCAGGGATACCAGCTTTCTATTTCAAGGAAACAGACTGGAAAATTACTCAACCTACTGAAGAAGTTATGAAAGAATAAAAATTAAAGTCAAAGAGGGATGAAGTAATACCAAAGACACCCTCATTAAGGTTAGGTTACAATTCCTTTAAAACCATTTTGTTTCCACTGTTCAGGTTTTTATGTGGCTTTAAGTGATAAAAAGCTGTAAGTCAAAAGTAAAAGTCTATAGAGCAGAAAGTAAGGGAGCTAGTCAAGGCTACTCAGTTAAATTTAGCAAGATTAAATATCAAAGCAGGAGGAAGGCACAATATTCCTCCATTGCGAGAATTAAAATATTATAAATTTTTGAATAGGCTGAGTGTAAACATATAGGCAGGCACTAGAGAGAAAGTAAATGCACTAGTTAATGAGGAAGTGATAAACATTTACAGTGATTTCATAAAGCTTGAAGAATTGAGCACCTTTCAAAATAGAAAAAGCTCTACATAGCTAACAAAAGACAGAAATATGCTTTGTGCAATTAGGAAGTTTTCAAGACCCTGTAAATACAGTGTTGGTTATTAAGAAAGGGAAATGAGTATGTACACAGAACAGCAAACAAAAACAAAACATACAGTGCCTACTGTAAGCAAAGGAATGTCCAGCCCAGCAACTGAACCAAATCACCTAAAATTAAAATAAATATATAAATAAATGATTTTTTTAAAAAAGAAACTCTAGAAAAATCATGGTGTTTATCATCAGAAATATAGCAAAGGGTAATTTTAGCAGAGAAGGCTGCAATGTTAAAATGTGAAGATGAATGAGGAAATTCTGAAGGAATAAGCATGTTAAAAGATACCTATAGAAAAGGAAAACCTGTTCAAGAGCGGCATGGAAACCATTCATTCCCATTTGTGGCAATACTTTTATCTCTAGAAATTAATGCTGTACCACATGTCATTCAACAATTTCTGTCAACAGACACGAGGAAGTAAAGGTGTGGAATATGTGAAAATCCAGCACATCCTCCTGCGGTTTATGATCACTTTACCTACAGAATCTTCTATAAATAAACCACTCTCTAGAAGAAAATGTAAGTCTTTTCAAAGGGGAAAAATATCTTAGGTTTCTGACTTGCAATGAGAAACAGTATTCAGAATCCCATGCTTTGTAAAATCATTGAACCCTTATCAGATCCCACCATTATCCCACATTTGTGTTCTCCACCTTCCAGTGTCCTGGTTCTCCAAAATTCAGTGAACTCAGAATGCTGATCTCGGCTTTAATAATATATACTATAAATATGTCTTAATTCATGCCCTTTGAGTATCATGGTTATAACAATGCTACTAGGAAGGGCCTAAGCCCCATGACAAACCACTTTCAGATAGTTCACTCTCATAGCTAGAACAATTTTAAGTTTGAGCTCTTTGATTTATTTGTGACTTGCTCCACCATCACTCTTAATCTAATGCTTTTAGCTTTCACCTCTAACCAGTTTCTTTCTTCCCGAACATCCTAGAAGCTTTAGAGAGCAATCCTTAAATCCCAATTCCCATTTTATTTCATGCCATACATTTTTTATCATCATTCATTTACTTCATTTAACTCTAAAACATTAAGATTTGCAGTTTTCCTGAAGAGAGTTATGCTATACAAACATGCTTATCTCACAGAGGTCTTAACTTTTCTATTTATAAAACAAAATCATAACAAAACAATACAAAATGTTTTAAATTCCAAATTTAATATGAACATGGTCATTTCTCAATCTATTACTTAGAAGCTGTTGTCCTGCATAAAATGTTTGTCAATTTTTCCACAGAAAAGAAGTGCATTACTTACAGTACAGTCAAAAGGGTCCTGTTGTATTCACCAGATCTGCACAGGTCCTTGCTCAGTTGTTTGTGCTGCTGAACACAAAGCAGGGTATCCTCTAGTAAAGGTTAAGATCATCTAAGGGCTATGACTCACACATTATAATTTTAGAGATTAGGTAGTGCAAACAATGTTGAAACTAGTTTTACTGGACACCTAACTTTGCTGAATATATGTTTCACACGTGACTTCTTATTATTCATGAGTATCTGATCGCCCTGGTTAGATTCAAACCAACTTTCCTCAAACTGAATGTACTGGCTTTTAATATCAAGCATTCCTACACATCTCAGTTACCCAAATCTACTGTTTTATGAAGAAGAGAGTCATCATCAGAAATAAGAACTACAGAGAAATATCTTGAACGTAATTTTCAGTGACTATAGCATTGCTGCTACTAAAGCAAGAAGACAAAGCTTTATGCAGTGGGACAATCCAAATTGTGGGACCTACCACTGGGACCTAGCCTCCTTGTCTCCTGAATATCCATGCCTGGGCTTGATTGTCACCAGGTGAAGCCAGACATGATTCTAATAGGTGCAGGGCTTAAAACACTGTTTTGCTACATTAGCAAATGATGCTCTAAATGTGCCTGACTATCCACTCCCACATGGAGAATCCGCTGGCAGCAAGAGCTCCGATAGTGACTCCTGGGCCACTTGCATGGCCCTGTGCCCACGAAGAAGGAATGCAGCTGGGATGCCATTGCACCAGGTGATCCCAGTTACAAGCATGGACTGGGGGACAGGGGGCGGAAGTTTAGGCACATGGGTGTTAAATAGAGCAAGTCTTTAGACCAGCTTACTCTCTTGTGATCTGGGATGTGTGGAGCAGGCCCCTCTGATCATGTGCCAGGTTCAGCTGGATCAGATCAGACAGATTGGTATCCTGTGCTCAGCTCACCACAGTAAACTCCTGAAACTGCTGGGGCAAGCTGGTGGGCACTGAATGACCAAAGCATTGACAGAAACATTGGACTCTGGACACCATGTAGTCCTTGTCAAAGCAGGGTCAGCTACAGCGAGTTTCTTAGGACAGTGTCCAGTTGGGTTTTGACTTCCTCCTCTAAAGATGGAGATCCCATATACTCCCTGGGCAACTTGTTTCAGTGTTTGGCAACATTGACACTAAACGAGGTTTTCTCTACATTTAAATGAAATTTCTTATATTTTAACTTGTGCTCATTGCCCCTTGTCCTGTCACTGGATGCCACTGAGAAGAAGCTATCTCTTTCTTTACTCGTCCCCTCAAGGATCAGGTATTTATACACACTGGTAAGATCCCCACAGGCCTTTTCTTCTTTGGGCTAAACAGTTGCATCTCTGTCAGCCTTTCCTCGTACACTAGATGCTGCAATCTCTCAATCAACATTGTGGCATCTTACTGAAATCACTCCAGTATGTCTATGTCCTTCTTGCACTGGGGAGCCCAGCACTGGATGCAACACGCCAGATGCATACACCAGGGATGAGTACAGGGGAAGGATCACTTGCCTTGACCTGCTGGTGATGCTCTTATTGCAGCTCAGGGTGTTGTGGCTGCCTTTCCCACAAGAGCTTACTGCTGGCTCATGGTCAACTTGGTGTCCACCAGAAGCCCCAGACTCCCAAGCACTGCATCTTATGTCTCTATTTCTAAAATTATGATAATATTTTCTTTCATTTTCCCTTCAAAATGCAAGCATTTTTGCAGCAGGGCCAACCCTCATTATACACAAAATAGATGGAGTGTTGATCTTGATGCTGTTTCTAAGCACAACTGAAATACTAACCACACCAATAACTCAGCAACATTTTCTGGGAGGTAAATATGCAACCAGTGAAAGTTGTTGATGATTACAACCTATCAAGCAACTCAACAGATTGCAAAAAAATCCCTCTTAAACAAGTTGCTTATGAACCAAAGTTTGAGAACTAGAAGGATTTGAAGCAGTATACTGAACTCACACATAATATGTTCTTCACGTATAGCACTCATCTGAAAGAGTACTTGAGATTCTATTTTCACAGCTTCTTGTATAAATAAGAGCCAAGAATCTCACTTACAGCTAACTTTTAATAATGGGCTCCAGTTTTTATGATATATAAAAACTGATTTCTGATGAAGGACGGAAGGAAGCCCAATTAAATACAGACGCCATGCTAATGACAAGGTGAGGGATGAATGACTAAGCTAGATTTGAACACACCTAGACCACACCTCAGGACACTTGCTGGAGAAAGCCTGCTACTGAACATGGTAAAGCATTGCCCTGCCATTGGAAAGAAAGCAGAGAAAATCAATACAGGGTCAATTTATATTTATAAAGTGAATCTCAGGACACCAGTACTATATAAAGTCCAAATTTGACTTTCATGCCTTTCCAGTGTCAAGCCGTGAGAGGAAAGAAATTAAAGGAAAAAGTAAAAGTTCCTGACAACTACATAATTTCTGTATTTGATGAAAAACTTCATCAACTGTAAACAATAATTTATACTATAACTATAAGCAGAATATTGTTTTACAAAGAATTCAGACATTTTGTTCAGTTTTGAAATTTGAGATATTCCAGAGTAACATTGCAGGTCTTGACGATATGGATAGTGAATAGGAAAACCCCTTGCCTACACTAAACACTGAAAGTTTCTACAGCTCTTAAAACAGCTAGTAATTAACTGTTCATATGTGCTTAAGGACATATTTACACAATTTAGTGTAAATACAACTTCTTTGAGCAAAGACATTGAAAGAAGTTTGTTAATCTAAGGTTTCTTTTTTTTGCTATACCCAATAACCACTGATGGCACAAGCTGGGAGTTCTACTGCACAAACAAGGCCCCACAGCCTCTCCTTAGACTGTGCTAAACCACAGATACCAGGTGTATATACCTTCAAAGAGATGCTAGAATCTCTTAATTTGTTGTCCCATTGAAACTCAAGCACTTCCTCATAACCATAATTAAATAGAGAGGCAACAAGGACTGGAAAACAAATTTATTTTAAGTTGTACTTTTCTGGAGCTAGCAGTACTTTCTCCG